GCATTCTTCTCTGTCGCAGTGTTAAATTACTTTAAAAAGAGCATATATATATATATGTAGAGGAAGAGAGCCAGAGGAAAGGGCACTCTTGTATCTTTTACACAAAAAGTGTAACACAAAAGGGCATTTCTGTAACGCGACAGGCACTTTTGTAATTGTGCAGGGCACTTTGGTAACTTTTAGGGCACTTTGGTAACTTTTAGGGTACTTTGGTAACTTTTAGGGCACTTTTGTAAGTATGGAAGTTTATAAATATTATTTAATTCCTGAACTACTTAAACCCTTAAAAAATTTGTTAAAGCAACCACTTCAGTTGCTTTTAAGAAAATGGGAACTGGATGACCTCCGAGCTGATCAAGTTAGGGGATCAGAAGGGTAGTACTTCAAACGTTCTACATGGACAGGAAACGTTCTTTCACTAAAAAACAATGATCGTTTTGTTAAGGGTTCTGATAACAAATAATAATTATTCGTGGTGTGGAAAGAGAACGAGAACACAAGGCCAAGTGAAAGCACCACTGTATGTTTGCATATTATTTGCTTTTGTCTGCCCAGCTTGTAATAACCAGCCTTAACCTTCAGATAGGTCAGCATACAAATTCTCCTTACTACTTTCCAGTCATTTCTTTTACAGTTAATTGGAATAAGTTGCTTATTAACATATGAGAATTTAAGCTACCTGGAGTGAGCATTTCATTAATTTTCGTAGCCTGAATATTAATCATAGATTAACTAGGTACATGCAAGAAATTGGATGCTGACCGGTCCTGTTGCTTTGAGAGTCAACAGAGACCTTTAGCACCGCGTTTTTTCGCACGATAAGACAAACAGCGAATCGCAGTCTGAGGTTAGACGGTTGCCGTTTGAAGTTTACGATAATTTCAACTTTAGCAACGCGTCTCTCATCTTTTTTTTATGCAACTCAAGGAATGAAGAAACAGTGAGCAACACAAAACTTTTAAACAGCACAAGTGGTTCGTTTGATACTACAAACTTCATCACGGATATGTTTCATTACTACAGAACTTCACAAAATTGGCTTCTATTTGAACAGAAGCCATAAGAGATATACCAGTATGTGCACAATAATCTTACATTAACATCCCAGCGTGTGAGGTTCGTAAGGACAAGCTCATGTTACATTAACATGATGATACGTTAATTATTTTAATTTTCCGGGTTAGAGCGATGTTTCTCCATACCCAAAAATTAAACCAATTGACTCTGACATCTGCATGCATGGTCTATACAAATTTCCCACCTTTTTGCTGGGATATTAGCATCAAATACTTGTGCATATCTTGCTATGGTTTCTAAACATAGAAGCCAATTTTGTAAAGATCTGTCGTTCAAAGAAAGCCCCATGATCAACACAATTTATGGTATTAAGTGAAAGACATACTAGATCAATAAATCGACTGAAGCTGTTTAGACCTTTTTGCTGCTCACTGGACAAGCATAAATTTAAAATGGTGTAAACAGTATTCTTCCTACTTGTTCCTCTTTTGTCGCCGCTCGTATTTAATACGATTTACAATTTGATTTTAGCTACGTTTTGCTCAAGATTTGCTTTCCATAAATGTCATTGGAGTCTTTTAGTGATTTCGGGTTTCGAAATTGGAGTATTTGGTTTAATCATATCCTCATATAGACGCAGTAATGTTTGAACTTGCTCTGCGCTGAACAAGGCTTTTGTGGTACTACTTGGAGATGTTGGAGGCACAATGTCACTAGATGAAGGCATGTCCTCTCTGAATAAGCGATTTACTCGATCACATAGCTCCTCCTTCTGAGTTGGTAAAGTTGCGGGAGTAGCGACAGAATTCCTCAACTTTAATTTAATTTAACATAATTTATATAGCGCTAACTCCACTAATTGACCAAAGCTCTTAAACTCTCAAGCTCAACTCTCGTATCTATGACTTGGAGGATTTCACATTCCATGATCCTCTCTCTCACACATTCCATAGTGACTTCATTTTTCTGTATTTCTCCTCTAAAGAGGTTACGAATTTCTTAAACTTGGACCATGGACCAGCGTAACCGAGGTGAAGAACTGTTGTCACTTTCCTGGAAATCTTCATCGATCTGTTCTTTACCAATTTGCTCCAAGGCTTCTCCAGCTTACCTGGGATGTTCCTTAGACGCTTTACTACAGACTGTTGAGCACTTTTTCCGCATCATTGTGTGGAGTGTCTGCGATGCATTACCGATGCCTGTGCCTTTTCTGATAAACGGTAGTACTTGACTGCAGTATCTTCTTTATGGGCCATCAAGTCAGCAAGATTGCTGGCTTCTTTTTCGTGATTCCTGTGCACTGCAGTTACAGCACCTTTCCTGAGAAGAGAGCCGTGAATAGGCCCATCAATCCCTGCTTTTTCCCATTCTGATTTTATGGCTTTGTTAATTTGACTGGACTGCATTTTTGTTCCATTAAAAGATGGAAATACGGGCTGGTTTTCGTCCACTCCGATGCCTGTCACCTGCTTCTCACCTCTTGAATGAAGACATTCATCCAGTTGTGTAACTGCGTGAGCATGACCATGAATGTGAAATGCTTTATGTTCCCTGACATTTGGCAACAACCCTGTCATCTTTTTTTGAGGCTCTTCCGAACTCTTTCACTGTCATGTTTGCTAAGACACCTGCACGGTTGGCACTATCAATTGATATTTGAACTAGGAGGAAATCACGCAAAAGGGTATACTGGCCTTCCTCCTCCTGCCTTTCCCATTTCCTTTATAGGCTTGATCTTTTGTAAGAAGATGACCATCGTCTCTCTTTCCTCCACCTGGGTCACCAACTCGCTATTAACTGGAATTTCGTCTGGCTTCTCAGACAAAAAGAAGCTGTAGGAATGTCCTAGGCTCCTAAAGTAAGACTTGATGGCTTCGGGCAAATACTTCTTTTCAGCATAACTTACAAATTTCATCTTGATGAGAACAAAATCCAGCAGATTTTCTAAATTTTTCTTAGTGTCAATAACAGAAAGGACTCTGTTGATCGTTTTGATTGCCAAATTGCATTTCCAATCTGCCTTTTTTTTTCTTTATTAAGTGAAGCAGAACTTGCCTTGCCTTAAAAGTCAATTGGTTAAATCAAAAACTTCACAAAACCTTTTATAGTATCAGGGTTATAAAGAACTGTTTGACTGAAAAAGACGTCAACGCATTTTCAGAATTTGCCTTGTGAAAGGAAAAGCGTGCATTTCATTTAATAAATGTTGCTTCAAATCATCATAAAAAAAAATAACGGATGGTGATTCTGTACTCAAGTTTGCTTGTTTCATTGCCAAGTGATTGCTCTACCTACATTATAACTTTGAGCGAAATTGATAAAAGTTAAGTTGCGACTTTCGTTGTCCAAACTTTCGAAACGCAAAAAGGGCCTTTTTCGAATTCTGAGATCTTTCATCGACTGGAAAAGTCAAGCACATACACTTACACATACACGGCACCTTTTAAATTGGCCGATACCACGATATAGGGCACTTTCGTGCCCTCACAAGCACAAGAAACGAGCTGTTTCACTAAGGATTAATTGGTATTGGGGAATCGCTCGCATGCAGACAGTTTGGCGGCTGAGTTTGTAAGCTTGTTACTCTTACAGCAGTGGAGTTTACTCCTAAATACACCCAGAGGTTGGAAAGTGGTCAACAGTTAGCAGATTATTTTTGGGGTTCATTGTCCTTAAGGGGGGTTTTGAGAGCATGTAGTTCTTAAAAAGTAATCAGTAGTGCCGAGTAGATTATAGAAGTGCTACATGGAGCCTAACGTGTGCGACATATTTTAAAGAACGTACCTCTTGCAGCCGAGGAGAAAACGTGTACAGATACCCTTTTGTTAGAAATGTTACTGAGCGCTATGTCGATTTTCGGTGTTCTGTACTATGACTTTATTAATGGCCATGCTTCTCCTGCAGCAAGAGCAAAACAATTTTCCATCTTGAATTAACCTTGTTTATCACGTTCCCAGCAATCTCGTGCGAGGGAAAAATATCTAATGGACGATGAGCTACACAAATATCGTAAAAGATTATCAGTAAGACTTTTCTTATGCACTTCTCAGTCAGCAAGATACAAATTAATTACAATTCAGACGTTATTTACAATACAAAAATTACCTATAATACAAAAACCACAAGCAAATCCAACTTGACGAGCAATACTAAAGTTATTTTCAATGGTAACACTTTTTAATAGTAAAAATCTATAATCTAACTACTATTATAACAACACTAATATTGTGTTCGATGTTCTTAAGAAGATTGAGCATACATTCATAATCAGCGTCAGAATTAGTTGACACATATAGTGATGAACAGTTATTTTTACTTTTAGAATAACAATACTATTGGTCAAACGCCTTAAATGATGTCTGTTTGCAGCTAAAAGATCACGGACGCAACATACTACACTGTTTTGGGCGTTGACAAGTAGTAACTGATTATCAGTAAGACTTTTCTTAGGCACTACTCAGTCAGACAGAAACAAAGATCAAGATTTTTAACGACCTGATATGAAGATCGTGGTCTCAAAATTCTCGAATTGGGATACGGCTAACTGAATGAAACGCTTGCAATTTACACTGTTGGATTAATCTTAGTTTTAGTCGTTCGTTGAGGGATCATTTGTACAAAACCGGCGTGAGAATAGGGGCTTTTTTACAGTCGTCGGTCTTTAGAAACGAACTCAATTATACAAATATTAACATACAATTACGTTTCCATTGGACCAAAGTCATATCGCAATAACTGTGGCAAAATTGTTTAGAATCATTTCAACAGAAAAGTATCAATCAATAAAATCACCCTATGTTCGAATCCTACGCTAAAATCGAAGATTTAAACATATACCATCACATCCTCCTTTCGAAACAATCGGTTGAAAAATAATTTAATTAATTGCTGCAAAAAGGTTTAGCAATGCACTGGTGTACACCCTCAGCGCCGACCCTTTGCAGAGGATTTGTTCTTGCTGTCAGAAGGATCCTCTTTTGTCGCTAAAATGAACTAGTTGAGGTCCTTCCTGAAGATGAGGCTCTCCTCAAGGTTAATTCGTTGGGTTCACTTGTACTGGAAAAGCTATTTAAAGTCCCTTGTTCAGGCAGAATGCGTTGATTTTCCTCTTCTACCTGGGGGTTCGGTTTATTCATTCCCCTCAGCTTCCTAACGATCCAATAGATCACTATGACAATACCCAAGCCTCCAATACTACCTGCTGCGATGCGCCAATTTTCGTTATCTGCGCAAGTAGAAACGAAAAATTGTTTAAAAAAATTGGATTGAAATCATTCTCATTGCGTCGACAAGATATAACGTTAGTTGGACTGAAAATTTATCCATTTAACTCTGAAGATAAAGAGGTTTGTTTCGTGCCGTTGCCTGATCTCGTTCTAGGTAGCTTTGGAGTAATTAAAAATGTATATATAAGCACACAATGTTAGCAACGTACATGCTTGATATATATCAGAAAATGCTCCGTTAAGCTCACGGTTCCTAATAAACCAAGTTGGATTCTTCCTCCAGAACAGGTTGAACCTCTCTGTGACAAACCTCGCTGAGCTGATAACCGATGCTGCTTTATAGAACATAGTTAATGATCAGCTTCATACGCAGTTGTTTCAGCCGTTATGTTCCTTTGGTTTTCAGAGATTTAAGTGAGTCAAAGCTTTTTCGTCACATGGCATGCTGAAGAAGAGGTTACAACTATTCTTGTCATGATAACTCTGTAACGCTTTAAACTTTGAACTTACTTAGACCTGGCTCCTCATTGGGCGTGTTGGGTTTAAAAAGACACACATTGGGACACCCACATTTGTGTGTCAGGCTGAAAACCTAAAACAGCAGTAGAAATTGTAATGATTTTCTAGCAGATAGAGATTTTCGAAATGGTTGAAAGAGAGTCTCAAGTATGAATAGTCGTTGCAAAGACATGATTTGTGTTTTAAAAAAAGTCCCTTATGCAATAAGTCATATATTGTCATCAACTTACGTAAATTCACGGGTCATCCAAAAGCCATATATTGATCTATTATCAACCACTTCAAACCACATTAAATGAAATGTCATATTTTGACCTTCGAATTGTGCTAAAGTAGAAAAATTTTCCTCACAGGTGAGCTGAAACCAAAGAAATTACAGAAATAGACTCTAAAAAGATACTAGTTGGCTGTGACTAATAACTGATATACGACTGTTGGGAGCGAGGCAGATGTTAGACATTTTTCTTTCCCGTATGGAAGTTTTATCACAATTCAGCCGATTTTTTTTTTCAGGCTTCTTTCAGGCTTTTAGCTCACTTGTAAGGATCATTTCTTTACTTGTTTATAGCCCGCAAGTCAAAATGTGATCAGATTCCTTTACGGGAATAAAGAGCCCTCTTAATTTAGCCTCGCTTTTAAAACAGAAAAACATGGCTTCGCGGCTCAGTTGACAGAAGTGCCCAACTAGTATTTAAGAGGATATCAGGCATGCTTCTTTCCTGTGGTTTGTTTAGCAGCAAGTCACCTTCGAGGATCATGTCTTCAGTTAGTTGACCATTACAAGGGATAAAGGTAATAATCTATAACAGTATTACAGCTCAGATGAAGAAAACATTTCTCGGGAGTATACTATACTTCAACAAAAAATGATTGATAATTACTTACAAATCGCGAGGGATTGCTAACCGACCGAACTTCAAAGTCTGGACGTTCCTTTGCTTTATTGCACTTTAGCAGCACACTTGACGTCTTAATTTGGCTATCACTAAAATAAACGGTTTCAAAAATATGAACATTTCTAAGACTGAAAATAGTTCACAAAGCTTAAATAGTGTGGCTAACTAAGAATTAGGAGTACGAGGAGTATGGAGTGTATCTTAATCGAGTGTCGTAAAAGTAAACTCACAACAGCAAATGAGAGCAAAGGACAGCACCATAAGGAATCATTGGGAAATCAAAGTAAAGACACGTAAACTGCCTGAAGCGCGGCAAAACGTAAATGAACAAGTGACAATTGCGTATATTTTTATGCTGATTGCACGCTTGAGAAAGTTGCGCGAGTTGTGTCATATAGAATCATATAGGAAAGAGAAGCAAGCTAAAGCGATTCCGAATTGACTTTCGACACCATATTTAAAGTTGCTATCAAGTGACTAACATTAATTCTCGTGAGCCACTGAGTTGCATTCCGGAAGTTTCCGAGTACATAAAGATTTCAGTTCATTACTTAGAGATTGCGGTTCTTCCTTTTCGACTTTTCAACAAATGCTGAGGCCACAAAAAAACTGAATAGCATACATTTATAGCAGGCGAAACACGAGTAAATATTACATACCCTTTGTATTCTAGCATTGGTAATTTGGTTTCTTCATCAAAAAGACATTGTTCTGTTCTCTGGTGTCCTATATTGTAGCCTATTTGTGCGGCCACCCACATGCAAATCTAAAAAGAGAATCATTTAATCAACATTTAATACCGGGCAGCCTCAAATTGTTTTGAACATTTTCTATGCCCGAAAATGAGAACATTAATGTTCTTTAATTCCTGGAAATTTATAAGGGCCAAGTGAGATCTTCGTGAGAATACAACCAGGAGTTTTTCACGTTTTGCCCTCAAGCTGGCTGTCTCGAAAAACCCACCCTACATGGAACACAGTAAGCGTCTCCCAGACTTCTTTTATCTGTCACATCGCAGGCCAACACTTTTCAGAGTAATTATTTCATTCAGCCAACAACCAACATACAGGATAATTCACATCTCACCCATTTCAGTGAAACTTTGTCAGTTTAAAGGGTCTACCGCAAAACTCAAAAAGACAAACTGGTTTTGTTTTAGATTTTTCCGGGGGTAGATAGACCACCCCCCGGTTTTTCTTGGCTTTCACCGAGGAAATCGCTTCATAAAAAGGTAAAATGTATGAAGCTCTCACTGCGATGGTATTTAACCAATTATCCTGAGGGTTTGCACACATATTATTACATCCTTAGTAAATGTTCGACGCACCCATCAGTCATGATCAACGGCTTGTCAATCAACAAAGGCAAATAAACGACTATGCGATTTATCCAAATATTTGACAACTTTGAGGTAAAAAACCTCCCCTTTCCAGAACGCTTCAACTATAATTTTAATTCCCCTTTATGATCCATCATTTCATCAATAAAAAACATCTAAAAAATCTTTGGGCACTTCCGTATTCTTGTCCAAGATGCCTTTTAAAATCTGCGACTGTGACAAGCTTCTCTCAACTACACCTGTCACGCAATTCTGGCTCTGGGTGGTCACTTGACCGTGGATGACGGGCAGCTTTGCCACCTCGTTTTAAAGGAAATATCAGTAGCCACATGAAATTCATTAACTGCGCCATGTTTCCAGAAAATAAGACTGGAAAATGTTTTTACCACTTTCCACCATCAGGAAATTCCTCGCAGAAATACTATCTACAGATCAATGCACCTAAGACACAGGCAATGACTGTAGGTCCAGTACCATATCGCTGTAATTTCAGTTTAGATAACCATGAAGTGGACGCCAATGATACACTTAAAATCCTTGCTGTTACATTAGATCGTAAGCTCAATTTTGTCGCTCATGTGTCCGAACAAGTAAAAAAGGCGTGTACCAAAGCCTCTGCGTTATGGAGGATTCGCAGGTTTATTACTTTAGACGTAATGTGCCGCCTTTTTAAAGCATATATTTTGCCTCATTTAGAATATTGTTGTCCGCTATTACTTGGAGTTGGAAGAGATCAAGTTGAAAACTAGAAGACACCGATAATTTAAGAGAGTCGGGGACACTTTTAACGTCACCCAATTTCAATCTAGTATGGCGCCATAAATCATTCTAATTTTTGGCAGCAAAACTTTGGAATTCGTCACCTATGTATGTTAGAAACGCCAAGGATATTTCTACTTTTAAATGTCTTTAAAGAAACAAGTTTTTAGATAGATTTAAGAATGGTAACTTTAAATTATTTCTTTTCTTTTTAACGTTTTTTAAAAAGTTTTCATCGTTCCTAGATGTAGCGTGGGTAAATAAAGTATTGTATTGTAGTGTAGTGTAGTGGCGTGACTGCGTGACCTTTCTGGAGAAGTAGAAATTGTTTATCTTCGTTCTTCAATAAAACGCTTCTGGAAACTTCTGAAACAATCTGTTATTTCATTTGCCTGTTTTTTGACTGCAAATATCGTCTGCATTTGCTATTGTTTTCACCAAATGTCAGGGCCTTTCCCGCGCGTGAGAGCCAGTTGGTACACGCGCACAACACTATTACGAGTTTCATTGCCTACACACCTAAACCCGACAATTTTTCTTTCGGGTTTAGATGTGTAGGTCTGACTCAAAAGAGAAGTGGGGAGAAACACTTGAAAACGTCTTGTTTTTCTCCCTACACGTCTCTTGTGCTCTGGCGGCTTCCTGCTTGCCTTACAACTGAATAAATAAATAAGGGTTGCAAAGTGGACTGATATGCATTTCCCCAAGTAATGATACAATAGTTTAAGAATGGCTCTACTGAGGTAAAAAGCAGGCTTAGCAACGCTTTTGTGTTTAGGAAATAACGAAGCTTAGAGATAATACCTATACTTCTTTTGATTTTTTTTAGCAATATAGTCAATGTGGCTCTTCCAACTAATATTTGACTATATATAAGCTGCAAGGTATCTAAGTTAATGATTGATTATTTATATATAGCATAACCTTTTTGGGAATTTGTTTTTGTACTGGATGAAAAATAACAAAATTCGACTTTTCATTATTTACTGAAAGCAAATAGCCCAAAATGTACTTTTCCAAGTTCACTGTCAATTTCACTTTCAAGAATGATGAGGTCCTTATACTCAAAAATAAATTCGCTTCATTTGCAAAAAGGTGAAACCTAATAGTTTTGAGAAATTGTGAAAGTCATTTTAAATAACTAAGAAAAAGGAGTGGCCCCAGTACTGATCCTTAAGGCACCCCACAAAATCCTGTTTGCATGACAGAAATAACTAAACCAAGTGATACCGTTTGAGTTCTGTTCCTCAGATATGAGCTAAACCAGTCTTATACAACACCTCTGATACCATAGTATTCAAGCTTTGTAAGTAGGATGTGGTGAGTATCAAATGCTTTGCTGAGGTCTAGGAATATTCCGCAAGAGTAATCATGGTCTTTAATAGCTTTTTGCGCCTGGTCAATAATACTTAGTACTGCATGATCAGTAGAATGATGTGAGCGAAACAGTTAACAAAGCAAGATGGTTCTTTATAGGAGGTTGGGCCACTGCTGTTGCAACTTCTTGCATCAGGGGACCACTAGCGATGTTCGCAAATTTATGGGACCCGGTCAGAGAAGCAGTATCTAAGGGAAATAGACTTACCGCTACATCCCAGTGGCATTCTTTAAAATCGCTTGTCTTTCCTATCTTGAATGACACGCAGGGGTTAAAGCTATACGTCCATCCATCTTTAGTTATATGAAATCTGTTTCAGGAACAACAGAATAATCATTAATGATGTAACTGTCTCTTGTCTGCACACATTGGCTGGTTCCGTATCATAGATGCAGTGGTTAAGTTAGTTACACTCGATCACTCAATTCTGTTAAATTCAAAAGGAAAAAATTCCCTTTTGTAGAAGTAGGTTAACAAACAAATTTTCGGTCAGATTTAGCCAGCGCCCAAACTAGAAATCGTACTCGTAAATGCGTTATGCCATAAAGGTAGAGTTCGACAAGGTAATTTTGGTGGTTTTCTGGATAATCTGCGACAGCGCATTTATTGCAACAGCATTAATAAGGAATTATACCAACACAACCAGTCGTGCAAAATAAAATTTCAGATCGCAAAACTGATACCGTCCAAATCAGGAGCTATTGTGGTCCGCGATCACAGGGTTTGAATTCATTTCAGGACTACAAACAAAATATTAAGATTTTTTACTGCTGCCTACAATTTACCAAAAGAACGTTTGCAGTCTCAGTATTTTAATAAAATGACGGCAAACAGACCTCGAGGTTTCTCGCGATCCAGAAACGAATTCGTTTATGAATCGTTGCATGAATCAATTTCGCCGGTATTTCCAGGCGCCTATATGAAATTTCGGCAAAGAGGAAGGGTGCTTATTAGAGGGAAGGCACTAAATCGAGAAGGGCGCTCATTAAGTTAGCCCGGCAATAAGACAAAAAATCAGAAGAACAAAGTAGGCATAAAAAGGAACTCTGCAATCACATGGAAATAAAAAAAGCTGGAAGAAGCTTTAACAGAAAAGGAACTAACTCCTGGTCTTATTCCGCAATAGTTGAAGCTTAAAAGTTATAAATAACGGGGCAATGAAAACAGGTTTTCCTGTATCCCTACTACTTGAGATAGTGAGACAAGGGGGGGGGGAGAACTTATTCGAAGAGGGTGCTTGTTTGACATTTTGACCTAGGTGGGTGCTTATTCGGGGAAGGGGGGCTTATGAGAGTGTGGGCGCTTATTTGAGGAAATTAAGCGGTCTTCCCACAAGCGCCGTCGGTGCGACCGTTCTGAGAATGTCTGGGGTTATGCTCTCCCAGAAAATGTTGAAAATTTGAGTCTCTAAAATGGTCATTTCCAGCATTTTAAGATCAATTTATTGCTCATAAGTCTCCTTCAAATAGCCTAATTCACAAAGAAATAGGTTTAGTATATTGTCAAAAGGGAGGGGTGGAGCACATTGGTCCATAGGGATTGGCCACGAGTCAGTCAACTGTTAAAGAAACGACTAACAGAAAAAAAACGATTATATCTCGTCTCGTGTTTACAACGACCGAACTTATAGTAATACATATCATTGGTGAATGATGTCACAAGTTGCGTCGCAAGAGCGTCTTTGACAACTAACTCAAGAAATAGCTTTATATCAGTAATGTCGCGTTAGAGTAAGGTAGAACAGTTACATTGCTGCATGAGCACTGTGAGAGACTGTCAAGCACATTGTGCTACTCGCTGTCTTGCCAATAACTTACAGATTTTAGAACTTAGAAGAAAACTATTATAGAGAGACAAGGACTAAGAGCTAACAAAGATTATGTCGAGATGCAATGAACAACACCGCAGTGAGTCACTGATTGATTATCTGTCAATTTCTGCGGCTGTTTTTTCACGTGTAAGCCCGCAGACATACACTGAAAATGCATAGTTCGTAATTAGCGGCCTCCAATTCACCGCATCCACGGCCAAGCGGCCTATTTGTCGTTTACATCAAAGATTAATGGTGAGAATATTTTATACCATAACTATCTGCAATCTTTATCTTGGTTTTTCGACTCTTTCAAATCATCCTTCCAAGGGAAGTTTTGTTTAAATTCTAAGTTCTACGTTACTCGTGGTTTTAATGAAGAGAAATAGTTGTTCAGTTTATTATTATTATTTCATCTATTAAGAAAATTGCTGTGTTCTTAAAAGAGTTTTCGTTGGAAAAAAAAGATCAAGCATTAAACCAAACGAACAACAAACGAACGAGCACATATTCTAGCCACTCAAAAGCAATTTCAAACGCGAAAGAAGAGCATCGAAATAAGTCGAGAATGAAGGGGTAAGTTTCTACTTAAACTTTAGTGCTGCGTATCAACTGAGTTGATAAGGTGAATTGGCTACCGTGGAGAGATTCTAAAGCTGACTTTTCGAGCGTTTACCAGCAAATGCTCGCAACGTTAGCTTTAGAAACTCTTTATCGACTTAGTTAATAAAACCAAATTATCTCGAAATAACTCGTTGAGTTTACCTGTGTCGTGAATGTGTAAATATTGCTGTTTATATTTCAAATATAATCTGTTTACGTTTCTTGTAGTAGTATTGATCTTTTCCGTGACCCATGCACCTCATCGGTGGCCAGCTCTATCTAACACAACGCTGTGGTATTTATATTCAACAACTTGTTGACATGGGCTGAAAATGTTGCAAGAGCAAATAAGCGGCACCAAGGTTCTTATCACACTTTTCTTTCAGTGAGCATTAGGTTAATTCAATTCCCAGATATCATGGTAAAATACTTCTCTGGTATTTAACTCACCTTGCAGTTCCATCTGTATTCCGCAACGAAGTCAAATTGTACTTGTTGCCAGCTGGATCCACGTGAAGACAATCACGTGATTGAGTTTTGTTGCCAATTGCCTCTTGGTATGTGACTGAACCATAAAGGATGGTCGCGCCAATAAACCACCTCAACCAGCTTATGGCCATGTTTCTATCGGGCAGACTCCTAGAAAAGACATGAATTACTTAGGCCATTTTAAGTTAATCTTAAAATTTTAAGTTTTTGTATCGCGAGAGTCATCCTAAAACTGTAATTTTGTAAATGCATGAATATTAAGTCTATCTCAAATCCCTTTATACAACACTGAAAATAAACTGTTAGCCATTCTAACCATTAAGAAAAGCAATCAGGATGAAAAACTGAATTTTCTTTCGATAAATGAACTTTTAATCGTTCGTCTCACGATGTAAGAGTCAGGCTAATCAATCGTGCCAATTAGCTGCCCTAATGAGAGGAGACTTAAAGAATATTTCTGAGCCTTGTGGGAAGATCAATTAAATTTTATCGAGATACTCAAAATCCTCCGACAACCCCCGGCGAAAAATAATGACCCGTCCCTGAAGAGAATTCAATTCATAATTTTCTTTTAGCATAGTTAGACAATTCCATATTTTGGCTTAATGCACCAAATTGTTTAACTTTAGAAAACATTGAACGTGTGCAAGAACGTAAAGCCCGTCAAATTTTAAATTAGCAGGCGAAAGCTTGTACACCCAAGGAAAAGTTTAACAAATGTTACCTGCTTTTCTTGCAAACCAGCCGGAAACAAAATGTACGTGATTTTGGAAGGAGAAAAAACTTTCAGGTTGTACCACAGGCGTCCCAAGCTCACGTCTTGAGAAAAGGTAAAATATAAATTAATGAAAGACTCATAAGACTTACAAGACTTATAAGTCTTATAGCTGTTATATGAGTCTTATGAGACTCCTTCCTATATCAGGCCGAATAGTAGTGATAGCAAAGCAAGCCCAAAGCAAGCTTAAAACGGCAAAGAATGTCAGAAACTACAACGGACACACAAGCATGAGTGAATAAATTCAAATGATCCGTTACGTGTAAAATGTTCATATCACGGAATATTTAGCGTTGTAAATCGCCAATATTTCTTTCCCCAGTACTATTCCGAGGGCCTCCAATAGCTAGGTTTTTCGAGATCCGGGATTGGGTTTATTTAAAGGCCGGGATTCGGGAATTTAAAGTAAGTAGGGAGCGAGATGCGGGATTGCTATGATGAACGGGATTCGGGAGATAATCACTTAAACGAACCGTGAACCGGGATGTCCGTTGACAAGAATTTATGAAGAAATTGATCTTCTCAGTCATGAAAAGCACCAAGCATACAGGCTCAGCAGGCATAGGGTAAAATATGGACTGGACCATTTTTTTGGACCATTTTTTGGACCATTTTTTGGACCATTTTTTGGACTATTTTTTGGACTATTTTTTGGACCATTTTTTGGACCATTTTATGGGGGGGAAGCACACCATTAGTGTTCAGGGAGGGGTGGGATGCAGTCTACTAGTGCTGAGGGAGGGGTGGAAGGCAGAGTGTTATTACTCAGGGAGGGGTGAGAGAAGGACTATTGGTAGGCAGGGAGGGGTGAGAGGTGGATGTAATAGTAAACACTACTTGATAATGCAGCTTTTACTCGATCGTACAATTTATCTCCATCGGTTTTTCGACTGACTTTTTTAATGTTCTTCATTTTTGTCGTCCTGCGAAAGCGAAACTGATACGTGAACATTGGACTTTGATTTCTATTGAAAATATCGCGTTTAAGATCCTCTACTGTTGAGTTATGCCTGTGCCTTTTGAGTCGACATGTGTATCATCAGTTGCTTCACGTTTCCCTTTGTGTATACAGTATGTAATTACTAAATTTATCTATCTTCCTTTAGTCATTCATCTTAGCAGACGAGATCACGAAATTTCCGGTCCTTAGCCCTTAACTTAGCAACATATAGAATTCACGAGCGCTTTTGCGATTTCAACGTTTTATACTTTTACTATCTGAACTATTTCGAAGAGGAATCCATATTCTCGAATCGAGCAAAAGCACTGCTGTACTTGTAGTATGGGAAAGCGCAAATATCGATTTCATCTGTTTCGCAAACAAAGGAGTTAATCACCAACACCGGAAATAGCAATTTTGTGAGGCGGACAAATTTTCAAACGCACCGCCGACAAAATTCGTCCCTGTTAGGTCGACTTGTGCCAGTGCAAAGTGATACCGACGGGCTAGCATGAATCATCTTTCAGTTGCCTCACGTTTCCGTTTAGTATGTGACAAAAAAAGCCAAGGATAGCGCGATGTCTTTATAATGGTTTCACAACACGGGGTGCAGTTGATCCAGCTGTCAATGAAACTCTCCTGACATATCCAAGCTCCAGATAATAAAATTTTCCGGGCAGAATCGGTCACATTTACTGACTTCTACGTTTTGCCGACGGAAAATATCGGTAAGCAACAGTAGCCACTGTACTTCCACTTAACAGGTTACGTAGGTTTTTACACAAGAAGTGATTGGCAGCGGCCCGGGCAAATTGGAAAACAAACGTACGGGAGTCGCGAGGAATGCTTAGTTGCTATTTCCGGTGTGGGTGATTAACTCCTTTGTTTGCGAAACAGATAAAATCGATAATTGCGCTTTCCCATCTTTTCCATATTACATGTAAAGCAGTGCTTTTGCACGATACGAGAATATGGATTCCTCTTCGAAATCGTTTGCTGATTATTTTATGTCCCAGTGTTTACGTGGCAGTTTCGCTTTCGCATGACGATGAAGAACATTCAAAAAGTCAGTCGAAAAACCGATGGAGATAACTTGTACGATCGAGTAAAAGCTCCATTAACAAGTAGTGTTCACTATTACATCCACCTCCCACCTCTCCCTGCCTAGCAATAGTCCTTCTCTCACCCCTCCCTGAGTAATAACACTCTGCCTTCCACCCCTCCCTCAGTACTAGTAGACTGCATCCCACCCCTCCCTGAGTACTAATGGTGTGCTTCCCTCCTATAAAATGGTCCAAAAAAAACGGTCCAAAAAAAAAACGGTCCAAAAAAAAAACGGTCCAAAAAAAAAAACGGTCCAAAAAAAAAACGGTCCAAAAAAAAAACGGTCCAAAAAAAAACCGGTCCAAAAAAAAAAACGGTCCAAAAAATAGTCCAAAAAATGGTCCAAAAAATGGTCCAAAAAATGGTCCAAAAAATGGTCCAAAAAATGGTCCAAAAAATGGTCCAGTCCATATTTTACCCTATGCCGGCTCAGCATTCAAGAGGCCGTCGGGTTCCTCAGCGACACTCTTAAATAGTTACTGAATGATAAGCAGACTGCACTCGTTTCAATTATAGATTTTTAGGCATTTCAACGATTATAGTTACAGCATTAGATAACACAGAGATACGATGGAACAGAAATGAAAGCGGAAGCACAGCTAAGTTTGATAGCAGGAGATCCGCTAGCTCTGCGTTACTTTTCGCGGAGGCCGAAGCGTTCTGGCTTTATAATATTAGAAGAGTTGTTTGTTGTCAAATGCGACTCCTTGGCATCATTGGTCCAATGAAGGAGGACTTCTTGATTATGCTGCATTTTGAACTTTGGTTCACCGTACCGCTATAGCGTTCGTTAAGATCGCCTGATAGTTCTACGGTACTAAACTTGCCTCAGAATGTTAGGCCTGATTCATTACTCCGATGTCAAAATATGAAAGAAAATCTTATAAGTTCAGGCCCCTTACCTTTCAGAAATACCAAGAAACAAATCCTTAAAGTTACTTTCTTGACTGGTAAGACAGAAGAACGTCCGTCGTTATGGATTGACAAGAAACTGAATACCGGAAGTGCTACCGTCCACTAGTTAGGACGCATTGCATTCTGGTTCTTGTTGGCATCGTTACTTTTCGTCACGCATTTGCGTGAGCTTTCCACAAATACGGCTTTCTTAATTGTTCTTTAACTCTGTCCTGTGTCAGTCACAGTTACTTTCTACGGATAAATGGTGAGTTTACTGTTTACTTACGGCATGTTGCTCTTGCGGAATTATTACTTGACTGAAAAGTTGATAAGCTTTAGATGAAATTGACCTCATACTAATTGTGTATCAAATTTGTAAGTTGTGAGCACGTTCTTCGTCTCTGAATCATACCTTCTCTGTACGGCAAACTGTTATCAGGGCTTGAACTAATCTCAAAGCAATGAAGGGTCGCGTGAAGGCCTGTTAAAGACGAGGAACATAGAGAGATAGAGAGAGATACGTGTAGCGTTACTCATGTTGGAAAGGATCAGGCCTCGAAGGCTTGAAGCTATTAGAAGCTATTTCCAGCTTATTTTAGCTTGCTTTTTGTTTTGTAATACTTCTTATTCTACTTTCAGGGTTAATAAAAGTGGAGATCGTTAACTCCCAAAATTTGATCGTTAATTCTCCCCTTAGCTGCTAGAATTTGGTGTTTGATCAAGAAAATATCTTGCTGGATAAGGTATGGAGATATTGGGAGAAGATACATGTAGATCAATACTAAAAGTTACAGAGCAAAGTGGGTTGATTATGTATGCTGTCAATCTTTTTTGGTGACACCACAGGCAGTCCAGGCACCCAGCTATGAGATGATCATCTTGCAATATAAGAGTCATGGCGAAAATATGAATTTTCTTGGGAATATTTAGGACAGTTCTTAGGAAGTAAAAATACTGTCAAATTCTCAATGAAAGTACCTCACCTTACTTCCACAGTGTATTGCTTGTTGTGTGACCACTTGTTATGTTGAAAAGAAGCCATTTTAGCAAGTTATCCATTTCTTAGTTTCCCAGAAATGGATAACTCGCTAAAATGGCTTTGTTGACTGTAGTGTATTGATTATACATGTGCCTATCTTAATCATTGACAACAACCTTAGTATGGGTTCTAAGGTGAGCACTTTGTACTTAATTCAGTAAATGTACTACTCGCAGTAATCCTACTGTACTGGAAATACCTGCATGCTGTAAAATTACTATAAGTCAGTAAACTCTTATACACAGTTATATACAGTGGTTGTAAATATTCCCATACAAACTCTTATATTTTTGCCATGACTCCTATTATGCAAGATGATCATCTCACAGCTGGAGCCTGGGCTGCCTATGGTGACACAAGCACATGTTTGATTATCTCACAATCCTTGCAGAAAGAGGCATAGGCTTAGATTTGATGGCGGTTGAGTCCTCAAGACCACTAGTGTCCTACCAAGGCAGTAACTGTTCATTTTGCCATTTGACTAGCTGTTTAACAAGATACACATGAGGTGGTGAATGGTTACTTGGAAATCAGGTATGAAATGGGAAAATAACCTTAAAAAACTAGGGCATGAAAAATGTGTGCTTGTTGTTCTCTGTGAAGAAAGAGGTTGTGTCTCGAAAAATTATATCAAGGAGAAATTTTTGCATTTATGAGATTTTGTTACAGTTTGAACCACAAGCCTCCCATTCATGGAGTTTGAGATAGTGGCAATTTTATTTATTTATATTGTTCAAGGGTTCACAGTCTATAGCCTTTAGTATGACTGATGATAAATCTGTCACATTGCTGTATGATGTGCATTACTGATGACCTCTTCTTCATTTGTTGCATAAAATTATTTCACATCATTTGCTGCTTCAAACACACTTTCTATACAACAGCAATTTTGTATACGCCTGCACACATCACATCAGCGTAGATAAAAAATATATATAGATATATAATTAAATCTTGATTTTAGTCTATCCTTGGTGGGGGCGAGGTGGCCTCATGGTTAGTGCACTTGACTCCAGATCGGGTGGTCCAGGTTTGAGCCCTGCCGGGGTCTTTGTGTTGTTTTCTTAGGCAAGACACTTTACTTTCACAGTGCTTCTCTTCATCCATGTGTACAAATGGGTACCAGCAAATGTGCAGGGGGTAACCCTACAATGGACTAGCATCCCATCCAGGGGGGAGTAGCAATACTCCTAGCTGCTTCATGCTAAGAAAACCGGAGTTAAACACTGGCCCCATGGGCCACTTGGGCTCATGTTAAGGCTTTACTTACTTTTACTATAGCATCTGTCTGATGATCACATAAGCATGAAACTCAGTCAGAGAAAAGTTATGTCTTATTGATTTGTGTAATTTTTAGATTTATATATATATGTTACATAATGTGTATAGAATAGATATAGATGAAATTAATAAAATTACACAAATCAAATGAACAATGTGAACAAGAAATAATGTATACATATGTATCAAAAGGGCTAGAAAAAATTTTGAAATCCGGTTGCTCAGTGTGTTATTACATTTCAGTTTTCATTAAGCCCTACTAGAATATTACTTGCCCAATAGGCAGGACAAAATGTTCATGCATTACTAACTACATCATTTACTGATAGACATTTCAACATTCTCGAAAGTGAGCGAGCTTGTTTAAGTGGTTTGCTCGATGTTAATTTTAAGGCTTGTTTTTAATATTTTCATTGCTGAGAAATGGCATTTATTTTACACATTGCAGTGCAAGGAGACATAGACAGCATAATCTCAACCAAAAGCAGGATGGAGCTTAAGCCTTCAGGTTTGGAAGACAACAAACTTGCATAGTTACATACAGTGTATCAACAGGTTTTTCTGTTCTGTGTACATTACCAAAACTCTTGAGTTTTTGCCACTGAGACTGGGCAGCTAAATGTGTATCTTCCCATCTTAGCACTTATAAATACAGTAAATAGCACCTTCCATGAAGGTTGAAACTGTCTCTTTCCCTTCTCTTATACCAGTTTTTAACTAATGGCTGTTCAGCCTTCCATTTGTTTGATTCACCTAGCTTCTTTGGCTTTTTACTGAATCAGACAAGACTAAATTTAAAGCAAGATGTTTGTTTTTCATCGCCATCTTGAATCTACCTTGTGCTTTTTTACTATGTGGTCATAAAATGTCCTAAAAGAGAGCACAAGACTCCACTTGGTCATTGAGAGCATTCTCATTCATTGGTGCTTGGTATTCATTTTGCCTGGGATCACTCATGGATAGTTGTGGGGAAACATCTTTCTATTTTCTTCAAAACAATGCACATACTTTAACTGTGTCCTCATGTGGCAATCCATTCCAAAAAAAATTCTCTCAAATTTTCCCAAAAAAGGAAAGAAAGAAGAAAGAAAGATGAGACAAAATATTGCTTGATTCTTTATCCGCACACCTGTCTTCCTTTCTCTTGTCCTTTTCTCCTACTATTGAAGGCCTGTTGATTCATGGCTGGTGAATCTTTAGGCTGTAATGGTCTTGCTTTCCTCCACATGTTGTGGTAATGTTAACTCTACCAATAGCTTTGGCTTGTTCCCAGTTGTGTATATGAAGAGCTAATGCAAATGACTACTTGTGAAATTTTCTTGGTTGGCCTTGTCTGTGAGATTACAGAGTATGACCTTGTGATAAGAATACATGAAAGTCATATATTTGTACTGCGGAAAATACATTTTAAGCAAATGAAGATTTGAGAAATAAGGCCTGAAAAAAATTCAGGCCTGAACGGGAATCGAACCCATGACCTCTGCGATACCGGTGCAGCGCTCTAACCAATGACCTTCTTTGTCATCTTTTAAAGGGTGGGGCCATGAGCAGGTGATTCATGCACTCCCATGTGACTTCACCTTGAACTAATAAATGATATCAACTAGCTACAGTACATTAATGATTAATGCCATCATTGGTTTCATACATGGAAGGTATGGTGGTGTGAATCATGCAGTAGATGGTGTGAAAAACCTGGATGATTGTTGATGTATATGCAAAGTCAACTGACCAGAGAGATGAGAGGAATAAATTTGTTGATTTAATATGCATCAGGTCCAAGATGATTAGAGACAATGGCTTCTTCTATGAATAGGTGAGGCTGGTCCATTTGGTGGCTTAAAAAATGATTTTCTCATGTTTACAATGCTTTTCATTGGCTGAGTGGTAGAGCCAGAATGTTGACAGACTTAACATTTGACTTGAGTTGTATTTCTCTGGTTTTACTGATTGTCAGAAATAATATCCTTGGATTAGTTGAAGTTTGTTTCAGATGTTTGGAGGATTATTTTGCAGGCAATAAGCAGGAATGGCTACTACAAGAAATTCATAGAGCTTGTTTACTCTACATCGAAATACATTTGTGGAATAAGGAAAGGTTGATGATAACTTTAAAATGATCTTAATTAATGGGTAATTGCAGTAAAGGTTAAAACTATACTTAAGGGGGAACTCTGGTTGAAATCCACCAATAGAGTAGGTCATAACTAAAAAAGTCGCTGGATCATAACCATTTCTAGTAAACTGCTGAACATAGTTAGGAGGCAAGTATACGAACCTACGTACCAGCCAACAAGTAAAGTTGAGCAGATTTGTTTAATCTGAGTTAATAAGTAACAAATACAAAGACTATCATTTTTAAACCTTCTTCGGCTCCCTCAAATTTACAGCACAAAATACATCCAATTGAGCTGGTTTTAAGCATCATGGATCTATTTAAAAAGCACTTCAAACCTATCAAGTGAAATCGGCAAAAATCGATGGCAACCAGTTCATTCCAAGAAAAGATTAACTCCTCAAAACTCTGATACTTTTCAGTCAAACTGAATTTTGTTCAATAGGTTTGTAGTATGTGATGTCTCAAATATATTTGTGGCAAATTTGGTGATGTTTGCAGAAATACATCCTGAGCAAATTTGAGGGGGCACCCAGATTTTCACGAAAAATCCAAATTTGCAGGAAATGTAATTGAAAGGAAACAATGTATGGAAATATGAGTTCAAGTTGGCTTAATAACATAAAAACACAGTATGTTGGGAGAAACATTTTGAAACAAATATGCCCAAAGTGATTTCTTGGTCTACTTAGTCTTTTTCTCCTTTTTGGGTTCATTGCAAGGTTCTATTTCCCTGAAAGCCCCAGCTGCATATTTCACACCCTCGCCACGGATCCTCAGATCTTAATTGCGCTGTTTAGCTTGTCTCCCGTTAACTCTGTATTTCTTGTGCTGATGTTGTACTTACTTCTCTGCCTGTTTAACTATCTCTGAATCCCTTCTCCTTGCTTCCATCTTGGCACTTTCATTCACGAGATGCCCAACCTTCTTTATGACAGCATGCTTTTGCGGAGGCACTGTCACTGAAACGTAAGGCAGCTGATGAAGCAGCCAACTGCACTCTCCTTTTTCCGTGCCACTTGTGTTTGGGACATTTGTTCCATTCGTGGGGGGTTGATGGGCTCATTAGCATTCTGAGTATAACCAGGCAAACATCTGGCAAGAAGGGCAGAATCTGTGACCCTTTCATAAATCTTGACAAGATGTTCCATGTCAAGATGGTGTGGCTTGTTAGAGCAAGGAAGCCCTTTCTTGAGTTTACACCATGAATTTGCTGGACAAGACAGGTGCCTTTCTTCTCAGGGCAGCTTCAAGCAGTGGAAGAATCCAACCAGAATCTCAGTTTTCATAGACTACACAGCTTGGTCCCTCTCTTCAGTGTTTGTAACTTCTCTTTTTACATTGTTACTAATTGCCTCGCCATAATACTTTTTCAGTTTTTCTATTACAGCCTTTGTTAGTCTTCCATTTCTTCCATGCATTGGGTTTCCATCTTCCACTTTCACTGAGGATTTTTGAAATTCATACAGAGCTTTCCCGAGCCGCTTTTGAACAAGTTAATGCCGTCTAATTTCATGACCCTGTCACAGCCTGCATTTCCAACCAAGTGATCCTCTTCCCACTTCTTAACAGCTATTGACCTTTCCATCACAAGATTTAGTACAATATCTACAGTAAACTATAAATCACAGAAATAATAATAATGATAGTATTAATGTTAATAGTAAAAATAATAATGATAAAAGGGATAATAACAATATTTATGCATGAAAACCCGTCAGTGTAATAAGCACTGGTATCAAAGGAGGTCTTGTTATAAGAGTACACAAGTAAAAATACAAAAGGTCCAAACGGTAAAAATTCACTAAGAACTGTCATACGGCCGAAATATACAAAAGAAGTATAAATCCACAAAAAAAATATATATAAATTATAATAATTATAAAAATATAAATTAATTATAAATTTCTATAAAACTAATCATCTAATTAAGAAAAAAGTGTTTGCTCCCTTGAGAATTCAATGAAGGATTCCTTTGACATAATATGGCAAGGAAGACCAACTTCTTGACTTTCGGAATGCGAATGTCTTTACAGCGTCTAGTCGAAACTGTGTGTACAAAGGCATTGAAATAAAAATTTTTATTTAGGTAACGTGATACAGAACCATCTAGGTATTTTCTGGTTAACAAGACAATGTGAGGTTTACCTGTGCTAACCATAGATATTTAACACCCCTGACTTTCTTTTCGATCAAAGGGGCGTGCCGATAGCACTTCACTTTAATATTGACATTAAAGAAATCCAAGACATTGTTTACGTCGAGGGCGTTCCTGACAGGGTCCCAGTTGATTTGGCTTAAGCTTTCGCAAAAATCCGTAGGTGAGTAATTTCTGTAGTCTCTGCATTCAATTATTTTGGGTGCATATTTCAAAGCGTTTGTTTTCCTAACGAACAAAACAAGATCATGATCGCCTTTACTGAGGGGACTGCTGCCTGCTTGACCATATTATGCGGGTTGTTTGTCACGATCAAGTCGACAAGTTTAGTACTAAGTTTTGTTACTCTTATAGGACAGTCAATCAGTTGCAAGAAATTATGAAAAATGCCTTTTAGTGCCTTCAAATCTTCTCCTTTTGTTAGTGCTTAAAGATCGTAATTAAAATCAACAGTCAGCAACGTTTCCCTATCCTTTACTGATACTCTTTTCAAACCCAGTTTAAAATTTTCTAAAAACTGAGAGTTATCCGGCGGGCCATAACAGGTTCCCACGAGAACATTTCTTGCAACAGTGACGGTACGGGCGTTGACCAAAGGGCCAGCCATCTTTCCACGGTCTGCAGAAGTTGGATTACAAGCTGCCTAAGTCAGGGGAAGGAGGAGATGTGGTTGATGGCTGGGACTGTGGCGCCAAAGTATGGATATTTTATGGGTCGAGGTTCATACGAGACCAGTCTGCCAGGCCTGATGCAGCTGTGTCCTTTGGAATGGCAGTGTTGTAGTGAAGCCGAGCTTTGCCTGGGAACTGACGTGAGGTGTTCAGAATCAGGACCTTGTACTACGTACTGCCATCAAGAAGGATGTGCACAGCAGAAGATCCACATGTAGACCATGAATGCCTCCACCCATTTGAAAATGTTGGTGATCTTTATCCTTTTCTTGGATGAACTTACCAAAGGTTTGCCGTCAAGATATTTTTGCGGCTCCGTTTCCTGGACCTTAAAGTTTTTCGCGAGTAGGTCGGCCATACCAACAAATTGCCCTAACCTGATCTTGGTAACCAGTTTCTTTGCGATGGGAGAATAACCTGGGCCAACCACAAAAGGCCTGTTTAGAGGAGAAGGATCCCCGGTGAAATGGTAAATGTGTGTACTTAACCAACAGAGAATTCCGGCACAGAAGATTAGCCAATGACGGGAAGAGAAAGATATTTAAGCAAAATGTTAATATAGAAATGCATGGATAAAACTGTTGTTAAAAAATATTAAGAATAATTCAAATTGAAATGTTATAGTTGCATTATGCTTCATAGAGTAAAAGTGATCAATTTGTTTCTGTTTCTCAAAGATATTCTTAAACTTATGACATTTAAGTTTTACCAGTGACCATACTGTTTTTAGAGTAGTATTAAGGTCATTCCATTCTTTTGTTGTGCACACAGAGAAATATGTCTTTCCCCTGCACTAACTTGCACTTCTGCTTGATCTGCCAAAAGGTGTTCAATTTGATCTCAAACTATTTTGATTGTTGCCTCTCGATATAAATATGTTTTAAAAGGTGGCAGTTGCTCATTAAGCGCGGTTAATGGATCATCTACTGTTCCTTATTTGAAAACCTTTTCCATGTTCTGGAATTGAATTCCTCTCTTTTCCACTGGAATTCTACACAACCCTCTCCTACTGATACTGAAGTGATAGTCAAACCGAAATCTTCCTCAGACACAGATCATGCCACTGTGGCCATTTACACAGTTTCAAGACTTTTAGCTTTTCAGATCGACGTCGGATTTCACTTGAAAAAAATTAACATGTGCGCGCCATCTTGAATTGCACAAAGGATAGAGGTCCTTTATTTCAAACACAAAATAAGGCTAAAAAATTGGTTTTCTAGCGTCCCAAACGGAATGGTTATAAGGAAAAGACCTCACTTCACCCATAATTATAGGACACATGTGAGAACTTTCGACCAGGAAGACAAAAAGCGTCGAGGAAGCTCAATTACCTGTAACTTCCTAGCTCGAAGTTCAAACGTGGACGGCAAATGTGACCGCTGGAGTCTGGTCGCGTGACTTCTTGGCGTTTGCGTTCACTTTGCGGTCGTATTCAGAAACAAACCTGGATCTAAAACTCCCTAGTAATTTCAGGTACAGGATCAGTTGAATATATTTCAGCATTACCAGAGCTTGAATGTGAATTTCTGAGGAATTCTTTCCATTCATTACTCTGATTTGCAAGAGCATCATTAGCTCTAGTATCGGGATTATCAAGCCAATTTTCCTGAACTTCTGTAGGCTCAATTTGAAACAATTCACTTGTCTTAACAAGGTAATATGCTGCTTTAAACACTTTTCTTGGTCTAATATTCGGAAATTGATAATGATGCTCATAACTCAACATTCGTTTAAGTTTGATGGGGATAGTTTGTTATTCATTGATTGGTCTTTGTAAAGTGCTAACGGTTGAATTTACATCAGCTGGTACATGAACAACATTTCCATGACTAGATAATTGCCTTCCATTAGGGAGTTCACGTATCTACATAAATGGAATACGCGGAGAAATTAATCTTTCTTCTAAAGGTGTCAAGTTTAAACGTTGTGGTTTTAGAGGGAATCCCATTTTGTTTGCTGTAGAACAGACTGGTAGCTTCCTATTACTTAGGTTTGATTGGCTGGTAAAGCAAATCCGTTTCGCATTATCTATAATAGCAGTAGTAGTTACAAGCAAAGTTGCGGAATATTTGCGATATTTGTTTGCTTCACACTTTCTGACAGATGACCGATACCATAATTGATCAGAAAAAGTACATACGTATTCAGGACCACTCTTAATGTTATCGTGAAAAGTTTGAATGACTTTTGTCATTGTTATCATCTCTTGTATAGAATCTTGGTCTTTTTAGTAGCTGGCTGAAGCAGGTCATGGTTACATGGGGTCATCCCAGACATCAAGGATCCTTTCTATTCTGTTCACTTCTCGCACATGCGGAAGGTGACTCCTTTTACTTTTTGGCAAATGCCTACTTATTCAGTTCTCTGATATAATCAGGATTTTCCATTTGTTTCATTATTGTTTGAGGTTTTATGCTGATCTGTCGTTAACCATGCTGGTTGCTTGTTATGAATTACATTGTTTACCATTGTCTCTTCATTAAAAGGAACAGTTGAACATTGTGTGTTTCATCTAATATCTATATGTACAATATTTGATAATAGTAGTATCAGTTTCTGAGCTAACTGGACTGATATTTGTAACCGATGAAAACCCTGGATTATATTCTGTAACGTGGATTGTCAAGTTTGATGCATCTGCAATTGCTTTGATAACAAGTGCATCAGCTCATGTACCCTATTGTGACATATTAGCTAAATACCTTCACCATGAATGGTTTGTACTACTTTCGATGAATCTTTCTGGATTGTTTCTCATTTATTGAACACCAGTACTACTAACATCCATAGGAAAGTCGGTAGACGTATTCCAGTATTATTTCGGAAAATCGATATCAATTGGTCTGCTGTTGACATATCGATTTGTTTACATGTGAGTGATTGGCAAATTTGCATATTCTAACCACTAACAAAAGTCGTTTCAAAGCTTCCCGTATCCACGCATTAGGTTAATGCATGGAAGGTATGGTGGTGTTAATTAAGCAATGGATGGTGTCAGAGCCTGGATGGTTGTTGAGGTGCAATGCAAAGTCAGCTGACCAGAGAGACGAGAGGAATAACATTGTTAATTTTATGTTCATCAGGTCCAAGATGATAGATGATAAGAGTCAATGCCTTCTTCATGAATTGGTGAGGCTGGTATATTTGGTGGCTTAAAAAGGTTTTTACTTGTTTATAATGCTTTTCATTGGCTTAATGGGAGAGGCAGAATGTTGACAGAGTCAACATTTCGTGTGAGTTGTATTTTTCTGGTTCCACTTATCCTTAAAAGTATTTTCCTGAGATTAGTTGGGGTTTGATTCTGATCTTTGGAGGATTATTTTGCAGGCTATAAGGAGGAATGGCTTCGGAAATTCGTGGAGCTTGTGTGTGGTGACCAGATAATGGCACAGTACTCCAGTTAGGATCTTACCAGGGCACAACAGAGCTTCGTTAGGATAGCAACATCAACATCATCATCATCATGATAATAATAATAATCCTGCTTTAATGACAACTTTTCTACAGGGTAGCTCTACATTCGTCATGAACTAATGATATAACTATGTTACTAATAAACAACAATAATAATAAAAAAATAAATGAATAGATATGTGCAAATAGAAATATACTCATATAAAGACCATAAATACATACCTATTGCAAAAATTCAATTGTTATTAAAAAATATAATATGTAATTAATTCGTTCTAAGCTGGGCCTTCGTTTTTAGAAGTTTGAAAACTTTTCTTTGAAATGGCTTTAAGTCAGTTTCAAGGTTAATGTCACAAGGAAGACCATTAAATAATTTGGCTGCTGAATCTTGAAATGTTCCCGTTAAAAGGGGTACAGCAAGCTGTGGTGTAGCATTTGAGCGAAGCCTTCTGATGTTTTCACATTTCTGCAAACGCAAATAACTTGGCCATTGAACATAGCACATGGCCCAAGGTGGATCCCTGTGCTACTCCTAATTTGGTATCAATGAGTTCAGATGTTTTGTCATTGACTTGTGCGAACTGTCGTCTACTATAAATGTAACTCAAAATCATGATCATGCAAGTCCTTGCAAGACTAAGAATCTTCTTTGCTTTATTAGCTATTGTATTAACATGAACATTCCAGGATAGTTTGTTTCTAGTGGCTTGGCTAAAATCACAGGATTCAGAAGTTTCTTCTAGAATGTTGTTATTGAGCTTAGTGTCAGAGAGATGAGGCATTCTTTTCTTGGTGATACGCATCAATTTACACATCTTAACATCAAATTCCATTAAATTTTGCGGACTCCAGGTATATAGATTGTCCAGATCCGACTGAAACTCATTTTGGTCTAAATGACTATTTATCGCGTTAGATGTTTTATATTCGTCATAATATAAAGGCATTGTGTTCCCGGGCATAAAAAAATCAACTAAATCACTGATGAAAATCATAAAGAATAATGGCCCCAATAAGGAACCCTATGGTACACCATACAGAATGGCGGACCAGGTAGAAATCTGACCTTCTATGACAACCCTTTGCTGTTTTTCTGTCAGGTGATCCATACAGCAGTTTAGCAAACTACCAGAGATGCTAAAACTACAAAGCTTCTGTAGAAGCATAAAATGTGATACTCTATCGAATGCCTTGGAAAAATCGAAAAACACGATATCCGCTTGTAGTCCGTCATCGAAGGTTTTTGTCCGTTCATGGCGTGTAAGCACTAACTGGGTAGCACATGAGCGACCCTTAAAGCTATGCTGGAGATGAGATCAATGTGTTGCTGCTTTGGCTAATTGGACAACTGTTTTTGCAAATTTCCTATCACATCCTGTATTTATAATTTCTACATGGATTAGACTTGATACTGATGGTTTTCACTGTGGACTATTTCATGGGCAAACAGAGTTTATGTTGTCCGTGCAAATTATCTCTTTAATGGAATTCTTAAGAGGAAATAATTTCTGGCCTCCTTTCTTTTTTCTTGCTAGTAGTCTGGGAGAGATGAGCTTTGGGAGCGACAGCAATGCCTTGGCCTTCAACTACAAACTACACCTTAACAAAGAATGTTTGCGAACCAGAATCAAATAAATACTGCACACCTTTTGAGAATCCGTTTGTACCATGAAAAATAGCTGGCACAGATTGCAGAACCACTTTCCAATTGAGCTCTTTGTAATATACCTTGCTTCAACTGAAGAGGAAACTTAAGCGGAAGCCGTGGACGGGGATGATAATTTTCAGATTCTAACTTTGATTTTTTTTGAGGTCAAGCTGAATCAATGTGCAAGAGACAGTGATGTCTTCCTTGCCAGTGCTTGCATGGATACGCTATGGCTCCAAAGTCACAGCCTATAAAACATAGGCCTTTAGAAAGTACTTTATGAATCTATCTTTAACTGGCAAAGACAGGGAACCTCTTTTGGAAGGCTTATGTTAGTCGTGGTGCAACTGCTAATGAGAATGCCGAGAGAGGAATCAAAGTTTTCTCTCTCTATCGTTACACTGTCGATTTCTTTGTTAGGGTCTTTGAGTTGTTTCTTCATTTTCCTTATTACCTTATTATTACCTTATTACTCTCTGCTCTTAAAACACTCTCTAAATCCCTTCTCTTGACCTCCATCCTAGTGCTGTCATTCACAGCTAACCCAGTCTTTGACATGACAGCGTGCAGCCAACTCCACTCTCCTTTTCCCAAGCCACTTGTGTTTAGTTTCAACCAGACGGGTCATGGACTACTTAGTACTTTGAATATACTCAGGCAACCATCTGGCTAGCAGAGCCGAATCTGAGAGCTGATCATACATGTAAGTCTGGTTTGTCAGGCAAGGTAATCCTCTCGTATTTACACTGAGAGTTCCTAAGGTAACGTCACGTGCTTGGCTACCACTTAGCAACGTCATGCTGGGACGTATGCTATCTTCCAGCGAGTCTATTGCCTCCATCCCCCAGATGTTCTGGGGGCCACATAAGCTTTGTTCCATGCTTCAGTATAAGTATCCAACGCTTTTTTCCACACCATGAGTGTGAAACAACTCTCCCCAAGGTTGTAGGTCTCGTTCATGGCTAAAGATTAACTTCAGGGCTAAAAATTAACTCCAGTGCTTGGTGGCCAGTCGGGCCAGGTTCCTTGAATTCTTAGTGGTGCATCCCAAAATGAAGTAGCCCTAGCTCGATTTCCTCAAGTGTGAAATGAAAAACTTGAATAAACGCCCCATGGCTTTTAACGGAGTATTAACTAAAAGGAAAGAACACAAAAATGCAATGCCCCCAGTAATGCCACGAGACTTTTTTCTTTAACATTTCGGCTATTCATTTCATGGTTCGTACGCTTTTGACTTTCTGACATTCCATGACTTTCCATGACTTTTTCCATGACCTTTTCCGATTTTCCATGACCCAATTGTTCAAATTATTTTTCTCAATATATACTTACAGTACCATCAATTCGTTTTTTCCTTGCATGTTAACCAAATTGTAGAAAAGAAGAAGATGCTAAGACCAGTTAAATTCATACGTATAACACGGAATCTTTATTTCCGTGCAACAAAATGACACAAATGCAACAACACGACGTAAACAGATACTTTTTTACTAAACTTTACAGTCCAGAACTATATCTTTTAAATTTCCTAAGATAAACTTTACAGTCCAGAACTATATCTTTTAAAATTTCCTTATAAAACTGTACAGTCCAGAACTATATCTATTAAAATTTCCTAACAAAATCTATACAATGCAGACTTAATTTCCTAACAAAATCTGTACAATCCAGAACTATATCTTTTAAAATTTCGTAACAAAAACTGTATAATCCAGACTTAATTTCCTAACAAAACCTGTACAGCCCAGAACTATAAAATCTTAATTTCCTTACAATACAGTCATTGTTTCAGTGTTCACAATTGCAGTATGAGGTTTCAGTTTTCATCTACAATATAGAAAAATATATGAGTGCATCCTTGTATGAACAAATCTATTTGTTCAATGGTTAAATGCTTGCAATTCTGGTAAATAACTTCAAGAAAGCAGTACTTTTGGACAGGTTGTCACTCGGACTTATTTATCACACTCTTCCAATTCCTTGTTTAAGTTTTCTAGTTCTATCTTCTTCTCCTTTGCTGCATTTCTGAGTGCATTTGATTCGGTTAACAAGACGAGCTGCCTCTTCACCTCAGCCTCTTTAGCTAATTTGTCAGCATCAAACTGTAAGGTGGTGATCTCTGTTTCAAGTCTCTTCTTTTTCTTCTGGAAATCAGCTTTTGCTTCATCCACAGATTTTCGTTTGTGGCTTTTGGCAACATTTTTCGCAAGCTGTCGCTGCTCTTCAAGATGGGCGTGATACCGCTGTCTTCCTGCTTTAGCAGAGGTAAGAAGCTCGTTCGAAATGACCAATTTATGAAATCCATCAATACTCAATATGTGGTCATGAATGGTGCGTTGGGCAACGAAAGTGGTCTCCTTCATATTCTCAATCATTAGCTGTCGGTTAACGGAAAATCCCCTTTCTACACTTGCTTGCCCATGTGAGAGACACAAGAGGAATTTCACAACGTCCCACAGTTTGGAAAGTGAACCGACAAGACCAATGTGTTTTTGGAGAAATGCATCCAATCTCTGATCTGTAAAGTCAAAGTCTTCAAACTCAGACTTGTGCACCTGTGTAGCCCGTTCCGTAAATTCACTGTACTGTGACAACAAAATGTCACAATCATGAATATCAACCCTCTTGCATTCTACCAATTTCTTGAGGACAATCTTGAACCTCGCACAGCTTGCTTCTTTCTCTGTCACAATATGAATCGGATCCAAACAGCACAGGTTCCTGGCAAGGGAATAGGCAATTGGGGTCTTCTCAATAAGTTTTCCAACTGTAGCTGTAAGGAACGACTGGAATTCCTTCCTAAATTCATATGTCTGACGATCACTGATTTTCTTGGCTGCTTGCAATTCTTTCAGCTTCGTGGCAGCAACAAAACCAACATCCAACTTCTCCACGTCAAGGCAATTCTCCCTCTTCTTGAAGTCAATCTTCAGAAGCTTTACTGCAGAGCTGGCACCCTGGAGTACATCAGCTTTGACGAACCTTTTCATGAGACCACGAATCACCTTCTCTAGACTGCTGGCCACAAATGGTAGAAGAGGGCTGTCGCTTTGGAACTGTACCAGAAATGGTTGCAGCTGTTTAGCCACTGACTCAAAAGCAGCAAATTTGAGAGGCATTAGTGGATCTTGGGTTGAATCTCTTATCGTCTTGTAGGACTTTGAAGTTGGCACACTATATTTGCTGCTACGTTGCACCGTTGTCACATAGAAAGTGACTTCTTTCCATATTTCCTGGGCCCGTACTACAACTGGCAGGTTCTCCAGCCATCTGTGCTTGCAGTACTTAATTGGAAATACAACACTGCTGGTTATTTCTGTGTAATCCTCTCTTCGTGCTGGTGAATCCACAAATAACCAATGAAGAGAAGACAGAACTTCCTGAATGCTCCAAGTAGATGCCTTTGATCCAGCTTTGAAAGCATTGTGTACAATGTGAAGTCCACAAGAGCCTACGTTAACTAAGATGGGTGCGTTTTCGTCAACCTCAGAGATCAGTTCCTGGAATAGCTCATGCAGTTTCCAATTCACGTTAGGCCCGTCCATTGACAACTGCAATATGTTGGACTTCTGAATCTTGATACTATCAAGGTAGCTAACGATCTTTTCCAAAAGGTCGTCGGCTGTAGCATGTCCCAGAAATACAGAGGTTAGGTACCTTGTCTGCACTCTGGAGTTCTTTGCATCCCAAAACCTAACATGCAGATCCATCTGCTTGGTTTGGGTAACTTTATTGTGCGATTCATCAAAAAGTAAAACAAACAATTCAAGTTTTGTGACTTCATCCGTAAGCTTACGTTGGAAATAGGGTGCTATGCCAAAACAAGCTAAGTAAGCACATTTTTTCTCGCCACAGGAAAACTTGCTGGCTATCTGGCTGTCCGGAAACATACGTTTAAATAGTTCTGGAATGTCCTCACAGCTCTTGTAACTATAGTGAGACAAGATTACTTTCAGTGCCCACAAAACTTCTGCAGCAAGTGTCTCATTTGAAGCCACATAATTTCTTATATCACCGGCACCGGAAGAACATGGCTGTTCAGAGCGTCCTACTTCATGTGAACCACGCTGGCTTCCAACAGCAGGTAAAAAGTTTCTGAGGCTGGCATTGCTACTCTCGTCTAAAATCAAATTAAAAAATGTTTGTTTATGAATATCGTCAAAAATGAGCCCTAATTAAATGAATTTACTGTCACAGAAATCCTGGAATCTCAAAATTTCACAATAGCCTCATCGAAATTGCAATCCACTTATAAAAATAAACCATATTTTACAGGCGCCACAACAGAACTGAAGGAGGGGGGGCTGAAGCCATAATTAATCCCAATGCTGAGCCACAAATGTCAAGGAAAAATAAAAACTCACTTTTAGTGTATTAGTGTTGTATCGCATAGTATTAACTATTGTATAAATTTTGTATTAATAAATAAAGATGCGCTAAATAAAAAAATATGAAATGGCCGTTTTGCTAGTCCCTCATAATACATTAACTTTATATCTGAAATTTAATATACCTCCGAGTTTAGTCCCACCGGCCCCCAACCACCCCCCCCCCCCTGCAGCCTCTCAAAAACTCAAAAGAACACTCTTGCCTAAACATCGGTACAATCCATGCATTATCTTTGTCATCCCGAAATTAAAAAGACATTTATTTATATTCTGTCGCTTTAGATGACAAATTCTTTTGTTCTGTTTGATTATTTTGTCGATTCTTATTACACCACAGCACTTAAATCTATGTTATACCCAATACAGGCTGCATCCTAAATGAATCACGAGTTGGTACAAATATCGAGACAAATATCTAACGCAAACATGCATTTTCTTGTCTTGATGCAAACTTTAAATTCTAGTAAATTCAAATTTGAACACACAAACGTACCTTTAACAGCATCGACGTGCTTCTTCGATTTCATGTGGCTTTTCACTGCTGCTTCTCCCATATTTTGAACAGCGAATGTCTTTTTGCATGCTTTACATTTTGCCTCTGACGAAGAACTCCCGCGTTCTATCCACTTATTATACTGCGGGTTACTCAGCCAAGCATCTTGGAATTTGCATTTTCCAGGCATTATATATTAAATCTGCTTGAATGATCGCTCAAGCTCATCTTTACCTCGTGGCAGGCCTGGTCGCATGGCGATGCTGGGACTCGGCCCCAGGTCTCAGCAAAAACGTATCACACGGTATCGGGGGAAAAATGCGCGTTTGTCGTTGCAAACACGTAAACAAGGAATAGTTTACTAAACAAAAACTTGTGAAAGCAAGGAATTTTCTTTATTTTCATCTCGGTTTTTGCAAAATGTCAAATTATAACAATTTTCCATGACTTTCCATGACTCTGATCGAAATTCCATGACTTTCCAGGCCTGGAATTTTTTTTTCGAAATTCCATGACTTTCCAGGTTTTCCATGACCCGTACGAACCCTGCATTTGGCACTATAAAATTATTAGAGTTTTATTTATTTAAGTAAATAAAGTAAACTGAAATAAAGTAACTTCAAGAATTTATTTGCACTTGTTGTAAAAACCATTGTGGAAAAAGCTGAGTTTTTTTTTAAAGACATTCTTGCATGCAGTGACTGTGGTTACAGGTATTTCTGGATAAGCCTATCAACAAATTCTTCCTCAAAGTCACTGTCATCATCTACTCCAGAATCTCTTTCTTCATCATCATCGGTGCAAGCAATTATTTCAGCATCAAGAGCTTCCTCTAGATCTTCGTCTACTGACAGTACGACAGCTGAAGGCAGTGCTTCCTCTGAATTAGATTGTGGCTTCACTTCTGTCGAATGTGCCACTGGAGCTGAGGGTGTCGTTTCTGGATCAAGTACCACAGATGCTGCATTGGAGTCGGATTCTGCAGCTGTTCCTGCTACTGGACTTGCAATTGGGACTGCTACACTTGAGGCAGTGGAGACAACAGTGTTATCGTTTAGTTGGCACACCGCTAAAAAAGTTGAGTGATTCCAACTCAATATAACGAGTTCAACTTGCATCCAGAATAACTCTTTATATTGAGTTGGATTAACTATCTATATTGAGTAAAACTAACTCATTGGAGTAAGTTAGGACAACTCAAAAAGAGTTAGAAGTACTCAAATAATGAGTTAACTCTACTCAAAACATGAGTGGGTTTTTCTCAAAAATGAGTACAGACAACTCTGATAATGTGTTCAGTAAACTCATACGAAATGCATCCAGATTGACTCTTTATTTTGAGTTAAACTTCACTTCACTCAAAAAAATGAGTTAAGGTACTACAGAAAATGAGTTAGCTTACTCTCACAATGAGTTACCTCCATGGCATAAAACTGTTCAGATTGGTTATCATCAATGTTATTAGAAGAGGTATATCAAGCTAAATAAATAAAAGCATGTGTCACTAGAAATCATGAAGCTATATTAAATTTGCAAAACGAATAATTTTTTGTTTGCTAAAATTCTGAAGATATGCATGTAAAATGTAAAATTATAAAAATTGTCCACTCTTCCATGAATGTAAAATGGTCTAACATTATTTAGCAATAAATAGTAACAATTTTTAAGAAATCCTTAATTTAAAGAGTGCATGCAATGAAATGTATTTAAGGGAATACTGAATCACACGAATTTAGTGTGAGCACTCAAATAATCATAAATAATCTTTAATTTTGGATAAGCTGTAATAGGTTTTGAAAAAAAAGATTGAATGATAATCTAAACATTGATCACATGATGCAGGCATTCAAACAAGGGCAAAATACACTGTAAGCAATATTTTAATATATTTTACAAATCACTATCAAGCAATTGAAATCTACAGAGTAAATTACCATACATAGTCTAGAGCCATCTTTAAATAAGTGCAATTCCTTTGATGCAGGTATACCATTTCATTAATACCCCTAATCCATCTGAACAATATGCCCTACAAGGGAACAGTACTTTTTCAAATAGCTTTGGACCATTTATTGTAATTCACTCCCTAGATTTCATTTGCCCAATAATTTACGAAATAAATCAATATATTGTGTACAGGTATATGCAATTGGTTGAATATCAACCACACATGAAGTATAATTAAGTTATCATTCAATTGAAGTAATTATAAAATCACATTTTCAGATCTTTGACATAGCATCAATGTCATTTACAAAATTAATTACTGTGGATGGTAGCTTCTTCCCATCCTGAAGTTGCAATATGCACTTTTGCAAGTACAAATAGAAGTTATTGAGGCCACTTGGATAGTCATAAAGGAACACATAGTAACATGCCATCAAACAGACTGTGGCCTCCAACAGAGTGGTGTTTGTTGAGCTGCATAGCACTTGCTGATCTGCTATTATATAGATAGCGTCGGGGGAACTTAGCTGCCCTTTAAATACAATTCTTGGAAAAGGCTTGTTGGAAATCTTCACGATCTCATCAATATCTTCATCTTCCTACAAAAAAAGTAAAACTCCAGAGTCAATAATTATTGTGTTTGAAAACAATATTTGTTTTTTTAAAAAAAATACAGCTTGTCAAATTTATTGACGAGAATTTCTTGAATCTATTGCTTCTGTCAATCAATGATAATCAGTCGGTGCCTTTTATATTTTTGACTAGCTGCAATGAAAAACCAAATTATTTCCAAATGTGCAACTAATGAGTTCGCAGAATTTCGGGAACCACTATAACCAATGTGATTTCTGGCACCTCCTTTTTGACTGACAATATGATAGGTCATAATTAATGTTCGAATTATATTAGACTGCTAGCTATCATATGAATAATAATTTAGCTGTAAAATCTGTTATGTTATCTACTATGACTTTTTTTTCTTGTCACTTTGTGTGGTGCAATTTTTTTTGCCAAAAACTCGTACGTAGGGCTACCATTAAATGCTGATTATCTCAAAAAGAGTTCTGGACACCAATTTTTTCTTTTCAGATTTGAAATAAAGCATTAAATTTTACTTCGGAAAATTGTAGTTTCAAAAAAAGTTTAACATTATTTCCAAAAGTAGCCAGTCACCTTAACAAGCTGTATGTACCGATATGTTCAATAATGAAATTGTTGGAATTGAGTGGCACCCAAATCCTAAAATAATGTAATCTTGTCAATCAAATAGAGATGCTAGAACCATTAATTTTAACTATTCTTTCAGAAATAAATATAATTTGATGATACTTACAAATACGAAATGGACAAAGTCATCTGTTGAAATAAGGCCAGACTTTGGCAGAAGAAGGTATGGCAGTACTGCCATGGCCACTTCAGCTTGTTCCTCTAGAAATAATTGAAAGATTTAGATTGATTTCACTACAATTAGGGTATTTACACTGGACCAGGTTCATCAAAACTGGCTTAGTTTTAATCTTTGCACTGTTTTTTACTTAATTGTATGATGCCCTTTAATATTTGTGATCCAAAGTAATATAGAGGTTTACTGCACTGCTCTGTGTTAACACTGAATAAATTTTAGTAAAGCGACGGTATTTTTTTAAGCCTTCCGGTGCAAGAAAAAATACAGCTCAGGAGTAAGATTGTCCAGGGTAACACACAAACTAGCAGTGTAGTAAATTGTTTATAATATGATATGAAGACATCAGATACCCAAAAATTTGAAAAAAATATTAAAACGTTTGAAAGGACAGACCTTTCGAGCATGTGCTGTTGCTGCACTTGAAAATGGGTTGTAATAGACCTACTTGACTATACAAATTGCCCATTTCAGACCATGTGATGAAAAACAAAGAAACTATTCTCCAGAGACGATATTGTAAACATCACATTGTCTGAAATGGGCAATTTGCATTTGATTCTGATTAGGTCTATACACGGGAAAAGCACGAGCTCGCATGATAAGATATTGTTTTCTTTTATATTTCTTACCAATTGTTGGTTCTGATTCATCTTCGTTCATGTCATTATCATCATCCTCCAGGAGGTGCAGGAACGTTTGGATTTCTTCTTTTGATTTACTCTTATTTTTTGTCTTTCCTAGTTTTACAATCGGGTCAGTGACTTGCTGAAAATTAGACCTGAATGAATCCACCACACTTGAATTTAGACCCAAAATTCTTTCAAATTCAGCCAGTATCTAAGGAACAAAGGTTTGAATAGCATCAATAATAATTCCTATATTTCTGTTAACATATGAAGTAAGAGAGGACATTCACATCTTGCAAGCATAGGATGTCTGCATATCACCCAACACACCCAGAATTGCCCAGTTACTCAAGGCAGCAAATTGTGCTGACCTGACAGAACAACCAGACTGCCAATCACCCTAATGTGGGGGTAGTTTTATTAAACTCATCCTTCTTCTACACAACTTTCTTGTTGAAAGACACAGAGAAAACACAATTAGATTGCTCATACTCATAGTTCACAAGGACAACAATATATAGCTTAACATACCTGTTCAAACTTAAATAGAGTAGGGTAGTGTTCTTTTATTTCCTTGATGCTCATATTGTCATTCATTAGTCTCCGTCTGCTGGGGAAAGTCAGTGCCATTCGTTTGCTTATCTTTGCCCAATCTGGAGACCTTTTTTCAAATTCACTCTTCATAAAATCTTTATGTCGTTGTAGAGACACCTCATCCTCACCCTCTGGAAAGGGTGGCTCCCAGTTTATGGCTCCTCTGCGAAGCTTAGCTTTCACACACTCTTTGGAACTCTCTTTGGGCTTTCTTTTCCTGAGGATTACTTCCGGGTCATCTTTAATAGACTTTCTCTCATTACGGAACTTTTCGTATAGACTAGCGTACCAGGAATCCTGGAAATAGTATTGAAATCAATTATCTCTGATGTAATAGATGATTTGCATTTATATGACATTTCAGTACTAGAATCCTCTGCACATATATTTTTTCTTTTTCAGATTTTGAATCTCTTTTGTATCTCCTTTTTTGATCTCCTAGTATTCGCAAAAGCTACTCAAGGAGTAATAAATCAAAATAAAAAAAACTATGTGCCAGCATTCTAGTAGCTGTAGTATTATTTTCATGCCATAATTCAACAGGGTTCCCACTCTTATGAAAAAGTTAAATTCCCTGACCAAGACCAAAACCAAAACCAATTTTTCCATCACCCAATGGCACACTTCTAGTTAGTCATTGTTATGAAGGACACCAGGAATATTTGGGAAATTTCATTTGGAAACATAATCACCAAGAAGATGTTGCAAAGATGAAAGAAAAATTCCCTATTTTGATGAATTGCAAATTTCCCTGACCAAAATCAAAATTCCCCGACCTTGAAAAAAATGCCAAATTCTCTGACTTTTCTCTGACTGTGGGAGTCAATGTTCAAATTACCTTTTTATTAGATCATTGAATCAGTCAGCAATTTGGAAAACTCTGGATAGGTCATGAAAAAACATGTAATAAGCTAAAATGCAAGGTCACATATGGTTTGCATTTTTTACTAGTGAACATGATCAACCTTTAAGGCCTCGATATGAAAACTTTTTTGAGGGATATGTAGCAAACTTTTTCATGTTTTCATATAACAGCATCAGATATCAACATATCATTTGTTTCAAAACCTTAGAGTACTTATTCGGTACTTACATATCCAGTACCAATTGAGGTATCTTTCAGGAAGGGATATTTCTGGACTATTAGTTCACAAATAGATGTGAGTTGATGTTTGGTGGGATACCTACAATTCACAAACCAAAAAATAAAATGAAATGTACAATAATTAGTAACCTAATACCAGTACCTTCTTCTTCAACATAAGATCTCATTGATGAAAATACAATAAGCCAATTTTAGCATTTCCCTACACCACAATAAAATGTATTCCTGATGGCTTTTCATCAATCAAAAAGTGGTAAACATATATCAAACAAGTATACTTACAAAGTGTAGCGGGCAAAATGATCGTATATTGAGCCTATGAACTCTCTTCTAAACTTCTTATTGATGTTCTGCTTCTCCTTGCTTGCCAGTGTTCTAGTAACATCCAGTCGGAAACTGGTTGGAAGTGTTAACACTCTTGGCCAAAGCATTTTTGCATTTAGCACTATATTGTCATCAGGGCAGGGACTGCTAACTTTGTTATCAAATTCCAGCCTCTTTCTGTATGAATAGTAAAATATAGCTGTAGATAATGGATGTCCCTAAAGACAGAAAGGAATGGATCAAAATAGACTTTTTATTTAACAAACATGACATCTTGAAGCAAAACAATTATATCATTTCAATGACACCTGAACACCTTATCAATGGCTGATATGTATAATGGCATAAAACATTACTCCAAGTAAGATGGAAACAAATTCAAACAAATCAGATTGAAGTCATCTAAAAAAGTAAATCAGACTTTCATAAGATCCATTAGAATTGCTAAAATCTCTGATGATGTACATCTGGTTTGAAAGGGCATTAAACTTTTTTTTGCTAATTCTTTTATGGGTTTGTATTTAGTAAATTTATATATACTGGCAAAAACAATTCCCAGAGAATATATGTCACTCTTAACAGATTGGGGATGAGTTCCCTCAATGAGTTCAGGGGCAATTTGCATGTGCTCTTTGCGGTAGCGATCCTTCTCCGCAGCAGTAAGAACTTTAATCTTCCCTTCACTTATCAGTGTGGCCTTACTAAAATCTATTAAGATAGGTGTGATAACATTTACAGGTGATACAGAAACAACAATGTTGTCAGTTTTATATCATTGTGGAGCACTCCCATAGTATGTAAATAGCAAATACTATCAGTAATCTGGAAACTTAAATGAAGCCAATACTCTGGACCATTTACATAAGATTTAATATGTTCTTCATCCTTATGTAAAAGTTCTCTTAGTGTCAAGGCCTTAAACGATCCATTACCATAAAATTCTGCGACTATGAAATAAGGCTTCTGCATTGTGTTTACCCCAAATATAATGGGGAGATTTATGTGACAACATTTGTCCAAAAATGAAGCTTCCCTTTGAACTTCCTTAACACTAGATGACTCTAAATACTTGACTGCAACTGGTGTGGATCTAAATTTTTTTAAGCACACAGTTCCAAATCTGCCACTACTTAGGTTATCATCTGGTCCAAGATCTTCTAGCATTGTTGGTTGGATTTGCAAAAGCTCCCTAGAAGTATTATTTTTCATATTATTCCTTGCACATCCCTGGAATACACATTTAGTTGTTTTTAGTTTCTCTTTTTCCTTTCTGAAGCTCTCCACATCTCGAAGTACTTTTCTTTCATTTTCTTTTCTACTCCTATTGCTTCATGCAGATTCTGATTTTTCTGTTTTAGATCACTCATCAGCAATTCAAGTCCCGTTTTTGACTTTTGTCTTTCTTCCCTTTTCCTTTTGTTGCGAGCAAGCCTTTGTCTTCTCTTAGCCGTCAAGGAATGAGTTCTTTTCCTTTTTCTGAAATTTTAATAAGTATAAATTCATTTCTGTCCTCTTTGATGAGCGCTATTAAATATAGCACTCAAAAGAGATACTGGTAAAAGGTGCTTACAAAACACCTTACACAGCAACCATGTTGGCACAAAACAAATTTATACTGTCCTTATGTATCTTACAAAACAGTCTCTACTTACAAGCGAATGTATACTCAATTGAGTAAAGTAATGGTAAAAGGCAGTTAAACTACCTTACACAAAAGCAGAGGCTCAGCACTGATTGTAAGATCTAAGGCTATAAACCGACCGCACCTTTTATTTTTTTAAACTATTGTTTTGCAAAAATAGTTATAAAAACAAAGTTATCAAGGTTGTTGAAGCAAGTCATAGAAATAATGATCCAGTATTATAATGTAGCACAATATTATACCATAACTTAAGATTCAAACCTTGCTTTTACTTCTGTATCAGCTGGAATTCTGTCTTGTACTTCCATTTCTTCATTGGCAATTGGGGTACCCTCTTCAACTACATCAATACTCTCGGGCCTGGAGGTTTTTTTCAAAGATTCAAGTTGCTTGATAAACTTCATTCTAGGGCCGACCACAGGTATCAGTTGCACTAACGCATTCTCCGTTAAGCATTGCATTGCTTCGCCATCGATTTCGTTCTCTTATGAAAGAAAAGAGAGCAATTGGAATCAATATGAAAGAATGTGGGGTAAAGCTTGATAGTTTTGTACTTAGGTATTAGGCAAGACCTATCTATGTGTGCTTAGCACGGCATAGCATGAATGGTACCGAAGTTCCCGCCAAAACCAAGAATCTTTGCATTGGAACAAAACCAAGAATCTTTCCATTGGAAAGAGATCAACCAAATCTCCTCGTAATATTTAATCACCAAAACCCGAGTTTGATTTTTGGTTTTACTGTTCATCTGGATTCCTTATGAATTAGTTTTTTTTTATTCAAAATGGCACCGATTTGCAATACAACGGGTAATGCTCTCTAGATCCTACCAGAGTGTGTACATGGTCGTACATGGTACAGATAGCGCGAAGTTCAAGGAAAATAACCTTGGAAAATAAAGAAATCCTCACAAAAATAAACTAAAATAATACATGATTTATCGTTGTATTATATCTCTACCTAAAATTCAGATCTAAGCATGTACTGAAGGACAACAAATGAGCTTTGTACGAATAAACTTGAAATTCAGGTTAACCTAATATTGTACAAATTCTCTAGTTATAGCTTACCTTCAAAGGTAGAAGCGTGGGACGAAAACCCATTTTGTATCATCCACTGCTTAACCTCGTCCACAGACTTCGGGAAACTTGCCATCTTTTTGAAAACGCTAAAGAGCTCACTTGACTATTGCAATGCAAAGAGTTGGACTACGTGAGAGAAAGCATTCATGGAGAACAAGAGTTTTATCTCGTACATTCGCGCCCTTTTTTTTGATTGGTAGCCACTATCACATGGTCATGTTCATCACATCGAGGTTAAATTTTAGCGCCAAAACAACAGGAAACTCAAATTGGAAAATATTCATTCATACAATATATCCTAAATAAAGACGGCTAAAATAATATCTACGTTGTAATGAAATATATTATAAATATTTTTATAAGAAAAGAGTTGATTTGTCTCAAACTTTGTCCTACTACCATTCCAATCTCGTTCCCAGAGCCTGCGTTTCTACTGGTCAGCACCCAGACATTCGTTTAAGAGCCATTGAATTAGGGTCTTTCTGTGTTCTCCTTCATCAGCGCGTCGTTGTTTATCGAAGGTTTTCCGTATATCCAAATGCATAGTTGTCCATACTGTACTAGTTTTCTTGGTAGAAGCTTCAAAAAGTTATTACATCATATCAAATTTATTCACAGTCATGAACCAAACTTTAGCATCACATGCAGACAATGCGGCCAGTCATTTCGAAAATTCAATTCGTTCAAATCCCATATCCAGAGAGAAGAGAAGAAGAATGCACTGTTAAATTTTGCGAACGTAAGTGAGCAAGGCGATGAAGACGTAGAAGATGAAAACTCTGATGAAGAAGATGGAGAAGACAACGATTCAAATGAAGACACAAACTACGTCGACGATGTGACAAGATTCTTGGCACTGTTTATTTTAAAAACCAAAGAAGAAAATCAACTAAGCCAACAGACAATCAATGCTATTCTTGACAATACAGGAGACCTAGTGGACAGTAGCTTAGTGGAAATGAAAAACAAAGTGGTGGCATGCCTTCAAAGCAGTGGAATAGAAATTGCTGATGTTGAGGGCCTATCTGGAGTACTTGATGAGCCAAGTATCTACTCCCAAGCAAAACAACGTTTGCAGAATGAATACCAACAGATGAAGTACTTTGTTGAGAATTTTAACTTTGTGGTAAGTCCTTAGCTTATGTCCAGGCTTTAATAGATGTGATTAGAAGATATGGGACAAATTAATGTATTTTATCACTTGTGTTAACTTGCTTTAAAGTCATCTTAATTAGCCTTCTTATAAACACATGCATTACCAAAATAATATAAATATATTGATTATTATGCTGATATGAGTTTTAATATATATAGGAGCCACAGGAAGTCATCCTCAATCAATATGCTGAATATCGCTATCTGCAAGGCAAGCAAAAACTCTGCCTGGTCAAGGAAACATTTCATTACATCTCGATACTGAAAACCCTACAATCTTTGCTCAATCAGGCAGATGTTTTATGTGAGGTAAGCATCCTATTTGATGTATGTAGAACAGGGAATATAACAGGAACTGCAGAGATGGGTAGGGTTAGGTTTGCATTTTCTGATGTTAGCGCCCCCCCTTCCCCCCCCCCCCCCACACACACACACTTGTTAGGATGCTGTGCAGTCCCTGTATAGAGCAGCTTTCGTATGACTGTGAAAAGTTCAGTGCCGTGAACGTGTCGTGTCGTAACGTAGGATTTTAATTGGCTGGATTTTCTTTTTGCGCGATGTGATTGGCTAAGCAGTGCCGTGTCCGCGTAGTGACAGTGTCCGTGCAGTGTTTCGTGCCATGTTTCTTGCATTTGATTGGACGAGGAGTGCGTGTCTTGCAGTGACCGTGATGTTTTCTAGATTTTTAATTGGCTGACTCCTTCCCATGACATTGTTCATGCCGTGAACGTTTCACAGTCATACGAAAACTGCACTAATAGTTATATTGAAACACTTCAGTGTATGGGTTACATGTTTTTATGGAGGAACTTGGGTGTGGTGATTTGGAAAACTCTTAGTTTTTGTGACAATTTAGATATCATTTTGAAGTTGACAATATTGAATCAATACCATTATTTTACATGACAGTCCCTCTAATAACAAATTACTTGTGGCACATTTCAATAATTTGGGTACTTTTGTAGGTTATGAATGGTCATTCCTCAAATGATGGAATTCTAAGAGACTATTGTGATAGTGAACAGTACAAAATGCATGCTCTTTTTGGACAACCTGGTAATGCACTACTTCTTCATTGTTACTATGATGATTTTCAAGTAACAAACCCGCTTGGATCAAAGACAAAAAAACATAAAATAGGTATGCTTTTCAATCATGTATTTACAGGCATGTAAACTATTACGTGTTTTGTTAGGTTGCTGTTAGCATTAATAATTATCTGACCCAAACTAAAGAAGGTTCAGCCTTGATTCATACGTCATACCTAGTATGTTGAGCCAAATATAAACATAAATAGGTTAAAAACAGCCATTGAAATTGAACAATACATTAAGGAAAACATTTTTTATGAACATCAGGAGCCTTTTACTTCAATCTGGGAAATCTTAGTCCAGAATACCGTTCTGTTATCAACTCAATTCAGCTAATTGCTTTGTGCCGAGTACCGCTCATAAAAAAGTATGGAATGAATAGGATACTGCAGCCATTCATGCAAGACCTGCATCAACTAGAGGCAGTAAGTATATTGTAGCATACACTTAACTGTCACCTAAATGTAAGTTCAACCATATAAAAATAATTAAGTGCACATTGTCATTAATATTAATTTATAATTTAATTAAAAAATATGTATTTGTTTTCTTCCTAGGATAGAGGTGTAACATTTTGGATAGATGAACAAGAAAGAACATTCAGTGGTTCCATTGGACCTTATTCAAGTGACAATCTTGGGGCACATTCTCTTGGTGGTTTTCAGGAGAGCTTTTCTGGTCTAAGGATTTGTAGAATTTGTATGGCAACTAGAGAAGACACTAACACAAAG